TATAAAGTGTTGAATTTATTTCATAAGTAGTGGTCATATAGTTATCCAAAACTAAACATGACTTTCAAACTACTGGTGTGTTTTGCACTGTTGGCCATACAGTGTGCGGTGGGACGGGATGACGGACATGTACTGACACCACCGATGGGTTGGCTGTCGTGGACCCGCTATGCGTGTGAAACCGACTGCAAGAGGTATCCGAAGGGTTGTATCAACGAAGACCTCTACAAGTCTCAGGCGGACAGACTGGCCGCCGATGGTTACAAAGAGTTGGGTTATGTTTACGTCAATATTGACGACTGTTGGAGTGAAATGCAAAGGGACTCAAAGGACCGACTGGTGCCTCATAAGGAGCGCTTCCCAAGTGGTATGAAAGGGCTGGCAGATTATGTCCACTCAAAGGGCCTCAAATTAGGTATTTATGGTGATGTCGGGCCCAAGACCTGCGCCGGGTATGTCCTACGCTTGTTATATGTGTTTTTATTTTGTATAACATATGAATGATATTTTGTGGCACAGATACCCTGCACAAAATGGCAAGACAGATAAGGGTGACTACTTCGACATCGACGCCAAGACATTCGCGGAGTGGGGGATCGACTCATTCAAGTTTGACGGATGTAATGAAGACACCAAACGCTTCGATGACTTGTTCCCCAAAATGGGTAAAGCCCTCAACGCCACAGGTAATCAACGCTAATATATCTGTGCCCTGGTAACAGTTTACTATTAAAATATCAATTTTATTATCTCTAATTTTAACTAATTTCAATATAATTTATTGATTTAATACTCAATTAATTTTTACTTTATATGTGTTTAGGCCGTCCAATGGTCTACATCTGCGAGTGGCCTCTGTATCAAAAGGGCGCTAATTATTCAGCGGTAGCCAACACTTGCCATGTGTACAGAAACGCTGGCGATATCGCTCAGACGTGGCAATCCGTTGAGTCTATTATCAACTTTTATGGCGATAACAATGCTGTGTTCAGCAAATATAGTGGTCAGTGTTTGTCCATTATTTTCACTTATTTCATTTTTACAATATTTTCATAATTTCACTAAAAGTTTAATAAACTATTTGATTTTTGTTATGTCTAGGACCAGGACATTTCTTTGACCCAGGTATGTACTTCATTGCTAATTAAATTAATAA